ACAAAGATAAATTCAAATTAAATTCTGATGTCTATAACATGAATACTAGACAAAAATATAACTTCCACCTACCCTCATCAACTTTATCAGTATATCAAAAAGGAGTCTACTTTACTGGCATAAAAGTGTTCAACAATCTGCCACAAAGTATTAAAAACTTGGGCAATGATACTAAAAAGTTTAAATCAGAGTTAAAGAATTATCTACATGCTCATTCCTTCTACTCTTTAGATGAATACTTCAATGTAAATAGAGAATTATGTAAAATTAAGTTATATTAATTTTTAAGCTAAAATTGCCTGTACTTATGTATGCAACCTTTTGACTTGTTCTGTATCCAAAGGTACTAACCTACTTAGGATTTATAGAAATTTATAGAATTTATAGAAATGTAAATAAATTCAATTCAATTCAATTCAGGCCTTGTGCATCAATCCTGCTTTCTTCCAGCCATAATTCCAATTTAGTTGTCTTAAGGCCTAAGTCCAGAATAAGTAGAGTGATTTCCTAGTAGCAAAATATAACTTAGATGTCCTTGCGATCCTTCTTTAATCACTTGCTTAAATTATCCATCCAGTCACTATTGTTAGGTTTCATAGCATATACACTTGGTCATCGACTTAACGACTGACTTCCATTCTGACTGACAGGTTGTAAGTCGATCTGATCGTATGTCAGCCATATATTTATTAACAGTATTTTTCAACCTTTCTAATTTTTTATCGTTTTTATAATTTATTTTTAAAAACTTTTACATTTGGTTGTAAGTGCAGCCGGTCGTAAGTCGACGACCAAGTGTAGTGCTTTCTAAATTGAGGTTGTTAGCTTCATGGTAACCACTAACCTGGAAGACCAGGAACTACCTTTCATCTTATCCCTACCCTTCAGCTTGCCTAGCATGGGTGACTACCAGAAGCTTCTCCTTACCTCATATGAGTAGTTCCACACAGGGAGGAATCAATTTAGAAATGCTTGCTGTTAGAAACATGTGGACACTGTGTTCATTTCATATATGTGCATTGATTTATTCTTACATGAACAATACAAAGTAACTACTTCTTAGGCCACGCCACAGCTGAAGCAGTTAGTCGCTGGTTTCCCACTGCAGCAGCCCGGCTTTGATCCTGGGTCTGGTCAAGTGAGATCTGTGGTGGAAAAAGTGGCGATGAGGCAGGTTTCCTCCGAGTACTTCGGTTTCCCTTGCCAATCTTCATTCCACCAATTGCTCCACAATCACCCTCACCTATCATCTGGGCCTGGTACAATAGGCCAGAAGTGGCTGCAGTACAAGGGACTTAGTCCCACCCCACTAGCAATAAAAAGAAACTTCTTAAATGGTAGGTTAAAATCTAGGATTATGGTCTGAGAGAATTAAGTTTGGTGATATGTAACATCAGAAAAATGGTGTAAGGAAGAACATAACATGAAAATTACAGCAGCAATAAAGAAAATACTGTAAAAAGTCCCGATTACAGCCAAGGCACAACTTTCATCTTTTCACTAATATACAAATGTTACTGCAGTGATACTGCTCTTAGAATGCACATACTGTCATACTATCATTGATGCATAGGCCTCCTTAATGACTGATTTTAACTTCTTAATTGATTGATTTCAGAGTCATATGGGTGCAATTGTTAAGGTACCATGCACTGCCACTTACAGAACTGAAGAAGCTTACAGAGCAGAAAAGAAATGAATTAAGGGGGCTGCCCTAGCATGTAAAAGCACTGCACTTAAAGGGTTAAGGCCATTTTCTAGTTCAACGAGACTCACATCAGCAAGTGACGTCATGCAGAGTGGGCAGGCAAAGCTGTAGTCCAGACAGCGGTCCAGACACATCCAGCAGTACGTGTGCCCACATGGTGTTGTAACTGGCTGCCACAATGTGCGGCAACACAACACACAGTCAAAATCTGCTGGGTCAACAAGATCTGGGTTCACAGACAGATCCATCAGCTTTACATCCAGCCCTGCAGCAGACATTTATATTAAGCTCTGAAGTTTTATTGTTTATAGGTTATTTTAGTGTTTAACTTTTCCATGTGATGGAACACTGATATAGTTTTATCCACCACAGCACATCAAATATAAAGCTGTGTGTGTGTGTGTGTGTGTGTGCGTGCAAGAATGTGTAGTGTGTTTGAGGAAGTGTGGATGTGTGCGTGTGTGTGCATGCAAGAATGTGTGAGTGTTTGAGACAGTGTGGGCGTTGAGTGTGTGCGCATGCAAGAATGTGTGTGTTTGAGAGAGTGGATGTGTGAGTGTGTGTGCATGCAAGAATGTGTGAGTGTTTGAGAGCGAGTGGATGTGTGAGTGTGTGTGCATGCAAGAATGTCTGAGTGTTTGAGAGAGAGTGGATGTGTGTGTTTGAGAGAGTGCAGATGTGTGAGTGTTTGAGAGAGAGTGGTTGCGTGAGTGTGTGTGTGCATGCAAGAATGTGTAGTGTGTGTGCATGCAAGAATGTGTGAGTGTTTGAGACAGTGTGGGCATTGAGTGTGTGAGAGTGTGTGCGCATGCAAGAATGTGTGTGTTTGAGAGAGTGGATGTGTGAGAGTGTGTGCATGCAAGAATGTGTGAGTGTTTGAGAGAGTGGATGTGTGAGAGAGTGTGTGCATGCAAGAATGTGTGAGTGCTTGGGAGAGTGGGTGTGTGAGAGTGAGATTGAGTGTAGTGTGTGCCACAGCATCATAGTTTAAATGAATATAAGAATCAGTATGAGCTGGGACACCTCCGTCACTATGACAACTGGCTATGGTCTGAAGGGCTGAGATGTGATACCCAGTAGTCACACAGATTTTTATTGTATGATAAAGCCTTCTATATCCTAGGTGATGATCACTGTTATGGATTACTCAAAGAAAAATAAAATGAATGAATGAATGAATTTATGTCCAGGGCATAGATTTTTGTCTATGTCAGTGTGTCCAGTCTGGCTCTGGCCCCACCCAGGCTCATGTCCAATGAAGACCAGGATCTCTTTCTTAAGAGCAAAGTGGCCAGGGCAAGAAGCTGAACACTCACCTCCATTTAGTGTTGGGGTTTGCATGAAGCTATATTTCCACTCTCTCATAAGCCTTCATGGCATACCTTTTACTTTTAGGAAACAGCAATAAATAATAAGTGTGACAAACAAACAAGATACTGTTGTAAGCGTAAGAATACGGTAAATCCTTGATTTAACAGGCCCTGAATTAACAGACAAAATTCTTTGGTGCTTCCCCGTTAATCTCTTGTTGATATGTTGGTACCTCACCATAAGAGTCTGGTTGATATGTCATGTATGCGTACTTTGTCAGTCATACTGCAAATGTAATGTGGATCTAGTACATAGATCACTCTATCAGAAAATAAATTTGTGTTGTGCTGTGTTCGGTTAGAATTGATTTAAAAATTAGAAACAGGAGCATCTATTACATGTGTTTGTGAGAAATAATAATATCTGGATTTAACAGACATTATGCAGACCCAAATTAGTCCGTTAAATCAAGCATATGCTGTAGTTAATTAACAGTGCTGTATAGAATTATGAAATTTTCTAGTTATCTTTCAATGAACATTGAAGACATTAATTCATAAATAAGTTCGTACCTTCACCCAGAGTTCATATGGTGCTGTGATAAGAGAATTTCCATAAGTTATTTCATATTATATGCATAAATTCTGTAACAATCTCATAACAAACCAATAATGTTAACAACTCACGCTTTATCCTGTCGACTTCCTGGAAGATGTGATCTATCAGACAATGGAGTCTTGTGTTCTCTTGTGGAACTAGCGGAGCTGTTGAACCACCAAGCGATGTTGACGCCAACCTATGTGGTGCCTACAAAGAAAAAAATTTGTCTCAAAATGCTCAATAACAGTTAAGTCTAAAGCTGATAATAAAATATCACCTATTTCTAAAGAAATGATATTCCTTATTTCAAATTCTGGTTATGTCACAAAAGTAGGCTGTGTATTATATTCATAAATTTATCAGGTACTTGGTTTTAAGCTGCCACCAAAAATACAATATGCAGGCAGTTTCTTTAAGGCAAATGTCAGAAAAAAATGTGCATTATTAAGCAGTTCAATAATCTTTTCAGTACCAACTGCTCACCAGTACAGATGTCCAGAATTGAGTACTATTTTAATTTACTTCAGTATGAATACCATCTTGTCCTCTTGATTATGCTGGCTGATATTACTTTTTATGAACACATCTAATTTGGTAACTATAGTGAAACCTCAATAATTTGGAATTCACGATAATTTGGAAAAAAAAATTGTTTTTCTTGCCCATTATGACCTCCAGAAGTTGGAATGAAATTAAAACAAAACCGCTCAAAAAGGCATGGAACAAACTCATTAGCAATGAAGAACTGGAGTTTGATCTTGAAGGAATAGGAGACTCGAGGAGTATTTGGAGCTGACTCGAGTGTTGTTTGTGACTGACTTAATAAGGATGAGGACTTCGGATACAAAAATTTCACCGAAGAAGAAATTACGCAAGCTGAAGAGGACGGAGGAGATGAGAAGACGGAGGAAATGTGTGCAAGTTACATTTTCATGAGCGAAGCAAAACTAGGACTCCGTCATCGGTTTTGTGGACTCTAACCCACAATACAACAAATATTACATAATGATGAGGGAAATGAGGCAAGACTCAGTGAAAGAACAGTATAAAGGAGGAACACAAACTGAAATAAGTGTATTTTTTAAACACAGTATCAATAATATTAAGTACGTAGGGTACCTAAAATGTTTTTAAGACTGATGTCAAAACTTTGATTTCTACATTTTATGACAGGTAAATTTATTTTTATGATATGCAATCTGAGTTTCAAAATAAAGTTGTATTATTTAAAAAGACACGTCCATTTTATAACTTTCCTGAACATATTGTCAGTAGCACGTCTATAAGTATAACTCAGATTTTCAATAATTTGGACAAGAGTTCACTCCCAATTAGTCTGACTTACTGAGGTCTTACTTCACTCTACTTTAGAAGGTAAATACATGAATATAGGCATTTAAGTATCTGTAACTTGTGGCCCAACCAAACACCCCTGAAATTATTTATCTGCTTTATTGCATGTTTAGGAATCCACTGCATTTATAACCAGAGAAACTGAGAACATTCCAAAAAATTATTAGTGAATAAAATGAAAATTAAATAAAAACTAGAATATAAGTCTTATAATTTAGAGAACCTGGAAATCTTCGTCTCCACTGGAGCTATCTTCATAGTCACTAGAGTTAAGGGCTGGATATGATGAAGCAAGGAAACGTGGACGCCGGCCCTGTAGAGAATAGGGAGCCAGTACACCAAGGGAGTGGCAGCGAGCTCGGAAGCCATCCGAGGCACCCACCAGCAAACGATGTAAAGCAAGTGTCACTTCATGGTGTACAGCTCCAATGTCATGATCAAGTGCCAGGCAGACTGAGAAAGACAGCAGAGCATCTTCATGCCTGCCAAGACTGGTCAGTGCCATTCCACGACGGTAGTGACCCTGCATCCAAACAAACAGGCATTAGAATGTGATATTATTCAGTTTAAACCTCCATTCCTCCTTACTGTATAGAAACTCCCCCAACATTTATCCACATAGTTACACGACGCACATTTATCAAACTCAAGGGAAAACATTCTTAGTCTGGGGAAGGGGTTTCTGTCACTATTTCTTGAACAAGAAAGGGTTATACAGATAATGTACACTGGAGTCATTATAATGCAAATAAGTAGCTTAATGATTGCAAGCCAGCACACTGGAGCATATTTTAAATCCTGACTTTTATATAAAAAAGTGCCTGTATCACTGCATACTGACAGAAAAATGACCTTTACATTCCCAATGACGATAGTTCTTTACCATCTCACACTTCTGCTGTAGAGCTAAAGTAGGAAAATTTCAAACTCTTGAATAAAACAATAATTTACTCACTTTGCCCCATGTTGGACACAATCTCACAATAGCGTCAGCATCGTCAAGAGCTGCCTGGAATCGGTTCAGTCGTAAGAGAGCATGGGAGCGGTTGCTGAGTACAAGATGGTTGGTTGGAGCTGTGAAAAAGAGAGGAAACAGTTACTTCCCTGATGCATACAACAGAGTTTAAGTACTACTACAAAAGATGGCTAAAGTGGTAACACTCCTGACTTATAATTAGGAGGATCCCAGTTTGAATCCAGGCCACAACACCAACTATCCTGACTGAAGTTTTTGATCTTTCACTCTAAGAGAATGTCAGGACAGTACTACAAAACAGGCCATGACAGTTTCAGTAATCAACCTACCATTCAATGCTACATAATCATAGTCTGAAACACTGACGGCTTGGTTATACAAAGCATATCTAAATTTAACATTGCTAGAGATCCAGTGCTCGAAATGGAACTGAAACTAAAAACAATTCCTTCATAAATATCTGTGACTCAGCAAATCCCTTATCTGAGGAACTTTTTCGGTCTTAAATAATAGTGACAAAACTATCCAACAGAATTTTATTTAAGAGAGTTAGGACCCTTGAAATTATAAGAAAAAATCCTAAGAAAAAGAAAGAACTGTCAAATTTCTGTTCATTTATTCATAGCATAAGTGGAGTACACAAATTTTTCCACTGCTTACTTGACATTCTGCATAGCTCAGTGGCCTTGATGTTCATGTATAACACAAACAGATCTTATTTTTAGTTAATTACAATACTGATATCAAAGCCAGAGACATAAAATTTATTTTCCCTTGTACACTGTTCAATATGCACATTAAAATGAATTTCAAACACATATTGGAGATCATAAAATGAATAGGCCTATATATTCTGACACATACATTTTGTCCAATGAACTAATTTAAAAAAAAAACGTTATGTTGATTTCCAACTTAACCGGTATGGATAAAAATAAAATTTGTTATCAACATGTTCATAATTGTAATATATAACACTGCGTCACATACAGTTTGCACGTGTGCGTTTGTGAGTTTATGGTATATCGATATACAAAGTTTTACATGCAGCTCCAACAATTCATTATCGCCATCAAACTCAAACCTACACATATTCCACGTGGATGACATGTTTTGCTTTTACACTGCGTAAAAATGTAATATCAACAAAGGATTCATACATTTAAGAGTTTGTTATCAAAGAGAAATTTAGGACCAGCCGGGACTACATTAAGTGATCCTTATGTCACATCTCAGAAGTTCGCACAGACTCATACTGATATTGTTCACACCAAGGTCCATGAGAAATACTTCACAGGCTGAAGAGTCGTTACTGCGGGGGCGGACACAGTGATATCATGAATATGGAAAATAAGGAGATGGAATTCCTTTGTTAAAAATTTGATCCACTTAAAACTATTATATTTTGGTTGCATGTTCATGGTAATTGGGCAACCTTATACTACCACAGTCAATAAGTTCGGGGATTGTCCGCAAAGAGTCGTTGCAGTGCACTACAGCAGATAGGTTGAGGCACGATATGATGCCCTGTCAGTTCATCTCTCGTCACAGCAAGAGGCAGTTGTGTGCAAACAGTGTAAGCAGAACTACGGCCTCTATTGTGAACTGCAGTTAAATGCAAGTGGCGGAAATCGAAAATGTGGCAGTTTGAACAACGGGCAAACATCAAATTCTGCCAAAAACTAGGCAAATCCCTTATCGAAACGTTTAGCATATGAAGAATTGGCTGTTGCTACACGACAACGCCCCTGCACATCGCTCTGTTCTTGCCCAAGGGGAACAGGCAAGCCAACAGGTCACCGTTTTGCCACACCCTCTGTACTCACCTGATCTCGCACCATGCGATTTCTTTCTCTTTCTCCGCTTGAAAGCAAAGCTACGTGGCCGTAGATTTCAGTCGTCCGAGGAAGTAGTCATTTCCACAAGAAACGCCGTACGGGAATTTCCTGCCAATACGTTTCATTAATGTTGGCAGACTTGCATAGCGGCCAACGGCTATTATTTTTAAGGCCGTTGTGCATCTGTGTAAGTGTATGTGAAGGGCCGCGCCATAGCTCAAGCGGTTAGTCGCTGGCTTCCCACCGCGGCGGCCCGGGTTCGATCCCGGGTCTGGTCAAGTGAGATTTGTGGTGGACAAAGTGGCGCTGGGGCAGGTTCTCTCCGAGTACTTCGGTTTCCCCTGCCAATCTTCATTCCACCAATTGCTCCACAATCACCCTCACCTATCATCTGGGGCTGGTTCATTAGGCCAGAACTGGCTGCAGTACAAGGGACTTAGTCCCACCCCACTAACAATAAAAAAAAAGTGTATGTGAATACCTTGTAATATGATGCAATAAATCCAGTCCACGAACTTAATGACTGTACCACGTATTAGTGATGTCTTCTTAATTTGTGAGGATTAGTAAGCTTACCGGCGAATGCTCATTTCCATCTAGACAACAGGTTATATAACAACACATGGAGTGAGGTGTTGAGTCATTCAGCGATGGAGCTAATAATCTCAGTGCTAAAGTTCTTTTTATGTTCAGAAAACTGTGGAATGTACTTTCTTGTGTGCTGTTTTATAACGGTGTCAGTCGCTAAGCTAGACAGAGTCTAATGATGGGATGACATAAATGGAAGGAGTGATCATAGCCCAATCAATATACCATCCCGGCATTTCTGAGGAAAACCACGAAACCGTCAGGATAGCCACTGCCCTCGCTAGAATAGACACTCTTTTATAAAAGCAGTAACATGCATGGTAACACTCATATAGCAACTTAGCAAGCAACGGATCTAGCACCTACTGCGTTTACTGAGCGCTGAAAGGACAAGCGGCAGCGTAGTTGGTTGAGGCACTATGCTACAAGCCGGAAGGTCTCGGGTTCAAGTCCCGATTAAGTCACTGGATTTTTTTTTTCAATTGGCCTAATCCTTCCAGCCGCACTATGGCCTTGAGATCGACTCAGCCTCTAACAGAAATGAGTACCAGGAATATTCTTGGTGGTAAAGGGCGGCCGGCGCGTAGGGCTCACAACCTTACCGCTTCTATGAGCCGATTGTCTAGAGGATGTGGGTACTTGGAGAAGAGTACAAGTTATGAAGCTCCTCATTATGCAGGTTCCTCCAACCTTCTGTCACTTCATCGCTCTTCAGTCCTCAGGTTGCGGATGGAGGAGACGCCCTCCAGGTATGGAGGGAAACCGTGTATTGAATAAGCAGTCGCGGACAGCCGACAAGGGGTAGTCCTCCACCTTGGGGGTTGGGCGTGGGGCTAACAACTCCTCACCGTGATAAAAAAAATAGGCCTGTTGCGAAAATTTTCAAAAAGCGTCGGACCTGGACGGATCCTGTGGATATATACCAAAATTTGTATCACCTTATTTTCCTTTATATCAATTCATAAGTTTTCTGGTTCACTGTTAGCATAGTTCGTATGTCTGTAGATCTGATGCTGAAATGTCAAAACATTTCTTGGGCATACATTTTCATATTCGTGATATGTTCGTCGTTCCAAGTAAAAAGCTGTCCTTGTGCTTAATTCAGCAGCATGTCATGAAGACGTATGGAGGAGTGAAGCTAGACCTATATCTCCAGGAATTCTTAACCTCAGCACAAGATGGAGGTGATTGGTTATGTTCACACCCCGGCCGTTCTATTCCTGGAGAAGAGTCCCGGCACCTACTGGATGGATGTGTCCCAGGTAAGGTAAAGGTATTCTGTAACAGGCCATGGAGGTCCATTGGGTTGCGAGACGCTGAGGCTCACACATTTTCTGACAATCGGATCACAGATAGCGATGAGGCTGCCAGCCTTACACGCTGGCTACCCTTATCCCCAGGAAAATTCCTGGTACCCATTACTGTTAGAGACTGAGTCGGCCCCAGGGCCATAGTGCGGCTAGAAGTATTACGTCAATTGAAAAATCCAATAAGCTCATCGGGAATCGAACCCGGGACCTTCCGACTTGTAGCACACTGCTTCGACCAACTACGCTACAGGGTGCCCCTTGATGCGTCCCGCAACTAGTCTAAACATGGTGGAGAACAGAGAAATCTCTACCTGTACCAAGAATCTTCTTCAGCCCATAGTCCAGCCCCTACACTCGATAAGCTATATCGAGATTAATACAAAGGGTTCTGCAGCAAGATCGCATTCCAACACAATTTCGTATCGGGTGTTTAAAGAAAAATAAATTCCAATTTAATTCCCAATAGACATATCACGGATCTACCAGGAAGACATGGATCGCATTCGGAAGCAGAGTTTATAGGCAGGGGTGTGAAATGTGGGGGGGCCTAAGACGGCAGTCATCTCCGTAACTTTTACATGGCAGACAGATGTAGGGCCTAGTTACGTGTACCGCGTGATTAAAGAGGCATTTTGACCACATGATTTGTGGTGTTTCGTCATTAGAACAAAGGGCGATTGTTTCCTCATATAACATCAACCGACTGATATTTGTAAGGAAAACGCAGTAAGTTCTCTTGGCAGCAAGAACCCAATTTAAAAGAAATACTTAGATTAATTTCGCCTTACAAAGCATTAAGATGTTTCCAGTGTTGCATAGTACTATAACAATATATTCCTATACGTATATACTCATTGGCCGGTCACGGTAGCCGAGCGGTCTAAGGCATGTACTGTCTTCGCTCGCTTGGAAACCGGGATCGTGGGTTCGAATCCCACTCAGGGCATGGATGTTTAGTTTGTGTGTGCGTTTTTCCGTGTTTGTATACAGGTAGAGGCCTTGCGAGGAGCTGATCACCCGCCCAAGGAGTCCTACCGAATGTCTAAGATCTAGTAAACCAAAGTGAAACGGAGAGTTTCATGGAGGTAGGCCTAGGCCCACTGTGGCTGTAGTGCCAAGGGGAATATATATATATACTCATTGAATAATTAAGAAGCAGCCGATCGAGTCCCACTAAAAGCATGGATGTCTCTCTGCGTTTATTCTGTTTGTGTTGTCCTGTGTGTAGGTAGCGGCATTGCGACGGGCTGATCACTCGTCCAAGGAGTTCTACAGTCTGTGTAAAAGAAATATTACGAAACTGAAGAAAAGGCCACGGCTTAACAAAGGGCTGTAGCGACACTGATGAATGAAAAATAAATT